CATGGAACAAGATGCCATAGCTGAAGAATTAAGTAAAAACTCGGGTTTGAGTCCCTTAAAATAGCACTTGTCAAAGCATGCAAGCTGTTTGTACAATAATTTACCTTGTTTCTCCCTTAAATCATCTTCCCTTGGTGTTTTCTAATAAAGACAGACATTGTAGTGACATTGTTGAGACCTTAGCAAGGTTCCCTCAAGGAAGAGAAACATGAGCAGAGAAATCAGTTTAGTGCATGGGCAGATTCCTGAGGAGTCCCTGTGGAACCTTGCATCATAGACTTAATCCCATTCTTTTCCCTTCAACTTGTTCAGTACATGCCCTACAAATGCTGGAATACATTCAGGAGGAGAAAGGGGAAAGAACGAAGAAATGATGACAATGCAGAGGCAATTAGTCTCTGATTAGCACATATAATGGGTAAGGGAAGGAGGCAAGGGTCAGGAAGCTACTACTGGAAGTAATTTAAAATTTGCTATATAATAAAAAAATCAGAAGACCTATCTGATTAAATCAAAGCCCTATATCAAAGAGAAACCTATATTAGAGTATACATTAAAAATATTCTTTTGTAATAGTAATCCTCATACCTCTAAAAACAGAGAGTTCTCTGCATTTCTGGAGGATATAATTAAACCACAGATCTTTCTTTTAAATCTAAAACTGAAGTGTAAATTCAGTTCAGTTCCTATGAAGGAATCAAAACATTTTTAATTTTTATACTTCATTATCTTGATCTCTTAGCCTTGCCCTGAAGCATTGCCAAAAAATATTCAGTCTTGGTAACAGAATTCTATTCACCCCCCAGACTATGATAAAATTCATTAGCAAGCTTTGCACTTGGCACGAACACAAAACCTTCTACCGGTCATTTTCCATGGTGCATAAAAATGCTTTCTGTCAGCTCACAGCACATTTATTCCTGCCTTGTTCAATATGACCTTTGTCTGTATAGATAACATACCAACTACTTACATTTAGCTGATGTGATTTTAGAAAGATATTGCATTTGTACTCCCCAAATATTGCACCCCACAAGAGTTTTCAGACTCACAGCACTTGGTGATCTTAGAAGAGCTTAAGCCTTGAATTTGAAGGACATTGATTACATTGCATAAAATGATGTAGTTGCTTTAATTCAGAATGTAAATAGCTTATTTCATGTGTCTTAATTCACCTTGACTGTAATTTAGATCAAACCAAATTGAGACCAACTTAATTATGAGCAAGGTTGCCTACACAGAGACTCAGCATTGTCTAAGCTGCTACAAAGAACTCAGTCCTTGCACAGACATTCCTGCAGGATGTGCTTTCGTACTTGATACTCCTCAGTGGCAAAACCACTGTAAGAAACGGGCACATCCCTCTGACATTGTTTGCCCAAGCCAGCTGTCCTTGTCCCCCACACTGCAGTTTGTTACAGACTGAGCCTTGAAATGAGTCAAACTGAAAATAACTTTCTGGAGCAAAGCTGCTGCTGGGAGCAATTTCTGACACCCCCTCGGATTTGGCAGTCACAGCCCAGCCAGGCTGCCCATGCTCTGCACCTCCTGCTCCAGGCTGACTGACTGGCTGGGTTGGATGTCACCCCTTCCCTCTGATGGCAGCTTTCCCATTTCACTCAGAACACCTCTGTGACCTGTTTGGGAACAGAGAAAATGCTGTCCCATTGGGCTCACCTGTGTTTAACCACAACTGCACCACAAGCTGCTGTGCTAATCATTTAAGCCATTTTAGTGCCCGTGAGCACTGGAAAAAGCATCCAGATTATGATGTTCTTGAAACATATTGAAGTGTCTAAACAAAATCACCTGTGGTCCCCGTTAGCATTGCAATTCTTTGGTGCTTTCAAATGCACACAGTGCAGAACCATTTTACATATAAAGCAGTCCCCACATTGTAACATGTAACTGCCAAAGCTGCTTCAAAGGTCTGTTCAAAGCCATTTTAGTTTGAACTGCAGTGCCTGCTAAAGCATGTGCAAATTTCACTCAAGTTGTACCTGATTTTAGGTCACAGCTTCTTGTGGAGGACACAATATATAAAACACATCATACTTGCCAGATTAAGGGCTCCTGACTAGAGCTAAAAGAGTTGGTTCAAATGCAGATGGGAAATACAAATGCTAAGCTTTGATTTCTGCTGGAATAGGTACAGGAACTGATCTACATTCATAGTAACCTCTTCAGTTCCATCTCACAATATATTCCACTAGGCAGGAGGATTCTCTGGTCTGTCTCATTGTGTTTTCATATTTAAAATTTGATTCAGAGCAGTGGGATTACGGTTCTGGTCTATGTGGGATAAACATCAGGCATTATTTATATATACCTAAAGTTGCCTTCACATCCAAGTTGAAGAGATGTTTTTCATACAAGCTTGGAGGCAAAAGTAAGTCCAGCAATGTAGAGAACACATGAATGCCTGAACGGTTATCCCTCACGTTTTTAGACAACCAGACCCAAAAGTACTTTATGGGATGCTACAAATTTGCATCAGGACTAAGTGTTTTCTTTAGATCTTCTTTAGATCTATATTATAGTACCAAACTCTGCCCATGCTACGCAGAGGCACAGTAGTTGTTTATAGGCTGAATCTCAGTGGTCCTACTTGAAACAGGGAGTTGGAATGACCTCCAAAGGCCCCTTGCAATCTATACTACTCTGCAATTCTAGAAATAGCCATAACTGGTGGCACTATGTAATTATAAATCAGAAAAGACACCTCTCAAAGAGCAACTGCTGCAAGTTCATGATCATTCTGTTAATGCCAGTTCAAAATTTCAGGTAAAACACCACCACTGAGTTTCTACCTGCAGCTGTACGTGTCCTTTCCCCCTTTTGATTCAGCCACGTTCCACTGTGACACTGGGGACGGTCCAGTGCTCCAGGAGACCTGTTTGTCTGACATGCAAAGCAAGCCTTGTGACCTGTCACACTTCACAGGGTCAGACAGAGAATGCAAACCCACAAATATTTAAAAATGCAAAGGGAAAACATCCAATGCTAATGTGTTAGGTTTTGCCTTGTGCATGCTTAACATCAAAGGGTCAAACACCATGTAAAGCATCACAATAAAAAAATCCTTAGTGTTTTCTGTATCAAAGTCACCATGATGTTGCATCTACATTCCTTGACTTGCAGCTTTTACAACAAAGTAGTTACTAAATTTGCCACCCTACTTGCTGCTCATGGAAAAGGAATTTAAATCAGGGGGATTTACTCCTCAGCAAACATGTGAACATGTACACACAAGAGCTGCACTGTAATGTAAGACTGCAATGCAAAAAAGCAATAACCTTCTCTAAGCTGAGTTTAGATATACACACACGAAGAAGGCTCATTACATCTTCAGGAGTGTCTCAATTTGTTTGGGGGTGGACTTTTTGTGATTTTTCTTTTGTTTATTTGGGCGTTTTTTTGGAGGGGTGGGGTGGGTGTTTTCTTTTTTTGCTTTTGCAGGCATTGTCACATAGATGTCTAGAGCTCATACCTTTCAAATAATGTGTTTCCCTTTTCATTAAAGCTTTTATTTTATGGGAAATACACCTGAGGACAAATGGACAATAGAAAGCTTGAGGTTTTGCCATCTCTGCCAATACTGGTTCTTTATGAAATACTGTGCTCAGCAGCACTCAGGGAAGGAATCTGCCTGCCAGTGATTTTAACTGGGCAAGGTTTTCCAGAGTCCTTTTTACAACCTTTCATTCCTACCTTTCTCCTGGTTAATATTAAAACTGCACTAAACAGATGGGCTATAAAACAGTAACATCTCATGGAAGAAAACCACCATCTTATGCCAGCAGAGCTTTTTGGTAGAAGTCTGATTTATTCTCTTATAGAGAGCAATTTCAGGTGGAGGATTCCCTTGCTGATGGAGAACCTAAAGTGAGGATTTGAAGCCTGCTGTGTGGCACTTGCCTTTTCTTGTGAAAGCAGTTGTAAGGTTTACAGTGGTTTTTCTCAAAAGAATCTCTTGGTGATATCAGATCTTAAGCCAGTGGGGAACTCTAATCTCACGTGACATTAAATCATGTCATCCTTGGTTGGAAAACTTGAGCCTAATTTTAATTCTCATTTGTTTTACAGCAAAATAAGTCAATGACTTTAATACTATTGTAAATAAATAAGCACAGATTCAAACAGCTTGCACTGTTCAAGATGGGTACAATAATCAAAATTGTATGCATTTAATAGATTATCATTGTGGCATTTTTACAAGAATCAATATCCTGGTTAATGTTGTCCTTGTATTATTACCAGTCCTTCTACAAGTCCCCCCAGACACCTTTCTGTCATAAATGGATCCCAATGTAATTTACAGAGAAATAACTTAATTAAAACAACTACTACTTGAAGCTATTTAAGTGATTCCATGATTCTGCTTTAGCAAGGGCATTCAGAGTCTGGACCTCTAGGCTGAATTAGTGGTTTCCTACCCCTATTGCTCCTCCTGAGATTATCTCAGAGATTTCTGCATTCCAACAGTGGAAGCATCAAAAATATTTTACTCTAAGCATTACCTTACTAATTGAACACTTGCTATCCAACTAAACTCACTAACAGTGCTCTCTAAATACTTAATGTGCAATAAGCATCATAGGAAACATCATCATGGGAAACATCAGGTGGTTCAAGTCTTCTGGGATTTCTTTAGTTATTTTTGCTATATACTTCAGTCAAGTTGTGCCTGATGACCTGTTTCCTGATCAGAATTCTAGACATCTTTATGACAAAATAATAACAAGGAGAATACGACATAATTTAATTTGAAGAGAAAATCAATTCAGTTGAATTTTGAAATTTACTTTATACATTTTTCAAACGAGCTCATTTGCAAGCAATGACGTGCCAGTTTCTCCTGCTTGTCCCTCATTTCTGTCACCCATCAGAGTGAAATCATTAACGGATCAAAATTTAATCACATGGAAATTAAAGTCACTAAGAGGCGTACAAAAGAAGCCCCTCCTTCAAGCAAATAAGGAGGCTTTTTATTTGCTAGGTTACCATGCTGTTTGAAAAAGCTTATCACTTGCTCACAGAAGTCATAATTTGCATGAAAGAAGCATCTCAGCTTGCAGTGTTGATAGCAAGGTTCCACAGCTGATCTCTGCTGCAAAGCCTGCCACAGGAGATGGGGAGAAAATTTTATTTTGGCTGAGAGCAGGCTAACTGCAAACCTGAATATCATCTTGGGGTTATAAAATAAGAGCATACAGTTAATTAACATCAAGATTCAGAATATAACGAGAGATTTTGCTGCCTTCCTTGTACTGTAACCCCTCAAGGGCAATGGGTTTTCATCAGGAGAAATTCTGCATTCCACAAGTGTAAGAATTCCTGTGTGGTTGCAAAATGCTACAATTACCACTACTGCACATGTAGAATAATTTCACTGCAGAATAAAGGGGGTTCCAAATACTAGGAAGGTACAATCCTTTGTACTGTTGTGTATGGCTTGGTAAGAGGTAGTGAAAAGACAGGTCTGATAGTTAAGGTTAAAGTATTTACAGTAAATTTAACAAAAATAATTTCCAGTCATGATACATTAGAAAAAAAAAAAGGCTACTTGTTGGAAAGTAGAAATGCCAAATATCACACACCAAGCTGAGAAAGTTTCTAATTTAGATGTGCTGACTTCTCCTTCCTGAGCATGGCAAGTCACCAGAAGTTTTGGAGAAGTTGATAGATCAGTTTGTTTTGTCACTCAAGGCTACCCCTCAAACTAAGCCTTCTTACTTTGTACCTAACCAGGAAACAGGAACAGACAAAACAGTTGTGTAATACATAACAAATAAGCTAAAAACCCAGCATGCTACCAGTAAACTTGGTTATAAAAATAAGTCACAGGTTTATGGTTCCGACCCAAATAATCAAATACAGAGATAACGACAGCTAGAAAATGAAGTTTCAATACACAGCACCCAAACACCAACACTGACACCATCTAAAAGAAACCTCAAGAGACACTGCCCTCTCCACCCGCAGCAATGACTGCAGCACAGCTCAGGGGGTTTGCCAGTACACTGCCCTGTCCACCTGCAGAAATAACTACAGCACAATTCAGGGGGTTTGCCAGTGCAGGACCATCATGGAACTGGCAGAGAAGTGGCAGATTCTGACATTTTAAATGAGATGAAAACAGAGAATGAGAATAATGAAGAGGTGGAATGTGGGCAATAAAAATGTACCCACATCACATATGCCAAGTAAACAGAAAAAGGCCTGGTATCTCAAGCTTTGGGCCTGAGAATAAGATAAATTTGCTGGTGTGTGCACTGCAATATACAGCCTTAAGCTAACAGCCAATTTCCTGGGACAAACAAAGGTTACTGCTGCTAAACCTAATTTAAAACAATCCAAACCGTACCTGGAACACAACTAGATAAGCATGTGCATGAGGGAGGTAGTTACAGAAGAAAAAGTGCAATATGCTTGATAGTTCAGATCAGTCCCCTGGTCACAGGGTGGAGCCTGAACAAGTGAAACGTCCCTAAGGAAACTCAGAGCATCCCTGCCTTGGGACTTTGAGTTTGGTTAAGGCTCAATCACCTCAAAAGGGAGAAAATACAGCAGTAAGACATAAGGGTGTAAAAACCAACCAACACACAACTACATCAAGCACCACTGCCCTGCCTTCCCCCACTCCCCCAGTCCATGTCAAACATGTTATGTATGAGGTCAGACCTCTAAGAATGAAGTCAAAATCTACAAGAAATGCAGTTGGATCACTGCTTGGGGAATGCAGCACACCTTAATAACAGATGGACAATCCCAGGTCACATCCTTTCTGCCCTCCAGAGAACATGCCCCTTACTAAGCTGATAGAGGTTTTGGTCTGTCAGAGCACACTCTTCCCCAGCACACCCCTTCCCCAAGAAGAGGAATTTTTTCTCTCACTTCTGACCAGTGGGGAAACTCAGATCACCTGAACAGGGCTGATTTTCATCCAGACTCCAAAACTGTTGTTCTCCTCAAGGGCCTGTAACAACAGTGAGTAGTCAGAAGCCCTCCTTATAGCAGAGCCCTATTTACAGAACTTAGAGAAAACATTTCTAAAGCAAAAGACAAGTCAGTTTGGATTTTAGTGGTTTGTTCTCTGGTTTTGTTCTCTACTAAATGCTCCAAGTTCATCTGGCTCTACACGAACTTCTCAACTTCAGAAATCCACTGAAACTTCAGAGCATACAACTTCTACCAAAATAACTTATCTCCTCTTGGAAACAGGAGTTTTGAATTCACCTGAGGGAATTTTTGGGGGTTGCTTTTGTTTGTTTTTTAAACTTGCTTGCACAAACTCCCAGAAAGTTACTCTATTGCTACTGAGGATTACTTTCTTCTCTCTATCCTAAAAGGAATCAGTAAATTGCTTTCATAAAGGGAGTTCCTATGAAGCAGAACAGTCTTTGTTTGCTGACCCAGTTACATAAAATATTATCAGAAGGAAGGTTATTGCATAACAACATCAACACTGAGTTACAACCAAAATTACATAGCTCTGGTTGATGACTTTTAGTACTCGCTATTAATTTTGCCCGTTTCTCTGCAGTGTATCAAATTCTTATGTATTAATTCATTCAGATAATCTAAAATGTCTTCCATACAGAAGTCTTCATGTGAAAATTATTATTTATGAGGTGTCAAATGAACAGTATTACAGCTGTAAGAGACTATTCCATAAAGACATGGGACACATTAAATTTTAAGACACTGACACGCCTTGTTAATTAGAAATGCCAACATTTGACATTTTTGTTCCCAAGAGAATTGATTTATTATAGATTCATTTAATTTTTGGGAAAAAGCTGATGCTGGGAATTCTGATTCACGGTAGCTTTCCAGCCATGGTGTAGGATGGTTTCAGATCCCCTCATGTAGCACAAATAGATAGAAATGAAATGCACAGAGCCCTCCACATCTAAAACTCTGTGTAAGCACAGCTGTGTCAAAGAACTGATTTCCATCCACTTTCTGATTCCTCATTTCCCACCTGGGACCACGCAGAGCACTTTTCAAGCAGTCCTTCCAGCAGCTAGGAGAGAATGAATGATTTCACCACTCAGTAGAGAGAGCTGCACCAGTGACCAGCCATGGCCTTTTTCCTTTGTTTCTTTTCATGAAAATTAAAAGAGATGATATATGAATGCAAACAGAATAGACACATTCCTGATTCTCAAAATTATTTTTATACCTGGCAGTTCTATCTAATGAGGGCTGTTCATACACAGTGAAGAGATTTCCTTCTACAGCTGTGTAATACCATCCCAAACCTCCTTTGGTCTTAGGAGGTTTTTTTACAGAAAACAGTATTTCCCTACACCGGGATACTTAAAGCATTGGAGAAAACTGCTTTAAGCATCACTGTACAGAACTGGAATTTATTTGCTTTCCTAACCCAAACATATAACAAACAGTGTTAGATAGGACCACCTTACAGCCTCCCTGTAAATTAATTATAGTGGTTGATAAATTCACACAGCACAGTAATAGAGATAATAGTGACACCCACATCAACATGGAGTTAAAACAAGGAGGAGAGAATGAGACACACATAATGTGCACCAGGACTAAGAGGGGAACTTCTTGACTTTTCAGGCCAAGGTCCAGCAGCAGTAAACCTTTCAGTCTGAGTGGAACAAGAGCTGGCTCATCCATGCCACTGAGTCATAGCTTATCCAGAACTTTGTGCTAATTTTCAATGTGTTACAGCAAGTTTGTGTGTTTGAGCTGCTTCGTTATTTATGCGAAACATGAACGATTCTGCAAAACAAACACAGCACAACCTGGGCACTGAGGGGAATTCTCCTTTTCAGCTCTTTGTAGCAGCTGCTTGAATAGAACAGGATAATTAGATTCCAGATTTACTCATTGTCAGAAGTAAAGCTGCCCCAAGTGAAGAAAGCAACACAAATAGCTCTGGCTCAGGGGGTACTTTGGACATATTGACATTGTCTTCATGAGGCATCAGGGTGTCAAATTCCCCCTGTGTGGACGCACAGGCAAATCTGCTGGGGTGCAGAGTCATGGAGAGGCTATTTGAAGCATCTGGAACATCTCTCAGCTTGAATACAACACAAAGAAGAGGAGGTTCAAAGGAAAGATGCAGCAAGAAAGGCATAGCACAAAAGAAATTCAGCAAAAAAATTCAAGGAAAAAACCTAATAAAGAAATCAAGCTTGAAGAACCTTCCAGAATTAGAAACAAAAAAATAGTCTACATCTTTAAATCCAAATCATTGCAGACTATTCTATAAAGAACTGCTGTACTATGGCTATATCTATGCTGCAGGTTTCACCTGTGTCCCTGCAAGTATTTTGATCCAGATTATATACAATCCATGAATTTATTCTTCTAGGGCTTGTTGTCATTGGAGTGCAGGAGTTATTAAAGGTCATTCTGTATTTAGAAGGAACATTCTCCCACAGTTTCCTGAGGGGGAGAAATGATCCTTGGACATTTGGCACAGAGAATATTGCAATTTATCTGCAGAGACACAGGTGAGAATAGACCAACTGACAGCATGGCAGCAAGAGGGAATGTGTCCAGACTCCATGCTGACTGTATGGCCTGTGCAGCAGATTTACCTTTAGCTGCATTTCCGTGGCTATTTCCCAACAGTTCATTTTGGAAAAGGTGCAGGAAAATGTTACAAAAATAAAGCCTTGCTTTTTCTAAACCCCACTAGTAAATATGAAAAACTACTGAAGGTAAGTGGAAGATGAAGGCAACAGAAAGAACAAAAGACAGACCCTGCCTCTTTTCGCACTGATGTTCTGAGATGCCGTTCCAAAAGGATTTCTCTTGAAGCACACACACACGTGCTGGAGGTTGGGTGTAATTATTTAGGCTCACTGACTCACAGATTTTACCTTTAGCTGGTTTGGCAGTTGTCATGCACTGTCTGACAGTCACGTTCAGGAGATGAATGTGTGCTCTCTGCTCCAGTGCTGCACAGGGCACCAACGGGACTGGCACAGACAGATGAAGAGCAGCTCTTCAGGGGGATTTTTACAGGAGTAAGACATGAACAGCAGTGCCACAGAATCATCACACCATCTACCACACACTGGCCTTCCAGGGTACCCACCAGGGTTCAGAGACCTGCAGAGCCCCCACTCCTCA